ATTCAGCACTCCACGCTCCCGTAGTTTTGGTGTCGTACTGTGGGCCGAGCGATGAGCGGGGCAATTGGCGACTGGCGACTGGGCAGGTGTGCGGGAAAAGCAGGGGGGAGTCCGAGGAGCCCCATATGCAGGGCTTTGATTTGAGGGATGTTCGGGTCCACACACAAATGGGTGGGATGTGTGGGACTTGTGGGATTTCATAGCGCGGAAGGTCTCTGCTTGAAAACGCATGAAAAAGTTAGCTGCTGCACTGCACAGTAGCTCGGAATTACTAAAAGTCACGTCGTGTCATGCAAGCATGATGTAAGCCCACCACATTCTCAATCGAATTTCACGCATGGGAGGGCTGATGACTTCTAATGCCATGTACTGTATGCGTAACGGCACGTGCAGATCCCGGGCGCCAGTGCCGGCAGCATCAGCGGAACCTCCGGCGGCGGCGGCGGCGGCGGAGCCCCTGCTGGCGGCGGCGGCGGCGGCGTCAGTGGTGCCAGCGGAACCTGCGTTCTCAGCTTCCGCGAGCTATCCACGTTATGGCAACGTTATCGTAAACACAGCCAGCGGTTGGTGTTGCTTCTCGATTGCGCCAACAGCGGATACTGGGTTTCGGCGCTACGAATGCTCAGCAAAGCCGAGCAACTGGAACTCAGTCTGGGAGTGCAGGTAAAGTACGGGACTAGGCGACTTGCGCAAGAAGAAAAGAACCGTGTTGCGAACATGGTTGAGCTCGCGGAGGTGGCGAGTTGGCAGAAGAGATCCGAGCGAGGGTCATCGCGGCTCGGGGCATAATGGGGAGTTGGAAACGTTGCTTGCGTACATTGACTGACGCGGACGATATACGTTATTACAGATATAAATTCATGAATGCTCTGTGAGGGCGGTCTGAAACCCGGGCAAAGTTGTTGGCTGGACAAAAACGTGGGAATCCGTCCTAGGATATATTGTTTTTAAACATCAGCCAGTCAGTGTTGGCTAACGGAGCTAACGGAGCTAACGGAGGCGCCAGCGCAAATTTTGTGGGGATTTAGGATTTCAGTGCGGTAACAAAATGAACAGGCCAGGTTACTAGAACGCGTAATCATACTCTTCAGTAGGCACTGAATGTTGGTAATATGGTTTTCTTGCAGAAGGAAGAAAGTGGAAGACGTTAGCATCTGGGAGAGCAGGGGGAAGATGCCTTAAAAAATGTTAACGTCTTGGCATATGACTGGTCATCTTGGTTTCTTGTTTTTCGATTATTCCCTCGTTTCGTTTCCTTCATCTCCGCAGGCCAGCGACTGCAGTTTGCCCGACACGCAAAGCATGCAATTGACCTACCAGCCAGGTATGAATTATTTTTCTTATTATCGTACTCTGATCCAGATCTGAATTGGATCCGGACTCGATAGGTTATTTAAGCCTGTAACTGGGCGATTCGCCTTCTGTATCTCCGCACACATTTTTTGCATAGTTGCTGATTTCTTAAGGTTCAAGAGGGAGGGTTTTTTTAAAGGGGTTAAGGTGGTTCGCAGTTCCTTGTTCGTTTGTGCCCGCTGCTCTCTAACGGCGCATGCACTCGGGATAGATGGTGTCGTCCTGTGTTCAGTTGATTGGTTGGTTGACCGTTATGGCATTCCAACGGATGTTTCCATATCTTCTCCCTCCCCCTTTTCTCCAAAGCATTTCCTATTTTCCTTTCTATTTTTATTAATATGAAAAGAATTGATTTCTTGTTTGCTTTATGTCCCTCCTAGCTTTCCTTTGTCACCTGTCTGCTTTTATTTCCTTTCCGTTCCTTTCCTTTCCTTTCCTTAGGTATCTTTGTACAGTTTTACCTTGTGAACAATAAGTGGCGTCGAGAGCAGCGGCGCAACGTTTCCGGTAACTCGCAGCACCCGCAGAGCGCCCAACATGGACCACCTTCAACGACCACAACCACAAACGGAGCCGCCAACTCAAGCACCGCTGCTGGCAATGGCCGCGTCGAGGTGTGGCTACCGGGTATGGTACCCAGCTACTATGCGACCTGGCTCAATGACAACCTCGTGGATTACGGCATCGCGCTCAAGTTTTTCAACATGCAGGTACGGTGCCGTACGGGCTTCATCGAATGTGATAATGTTGTTTTGTTTGCTTACACGAGGGAAAGGAATGGCCATCAGTGAATGTAAGGACGGGCGTCCCCGGCGATTGCAGCACTCGTGCGTGTGCATACATACGTACGTAGAGTGTTGGCAGTCTGAGTCGTTGTCGGGAGCACGCAAGACTAGCCGCGACTTGTGCTGTGTGCTCCCGACCCTTGCGCTGTGTTTCGGCTTCGGCCCCCGGCCCTCGGGGCCCACAGTGTAATCTAAAGTCATACGTACATACATGCGTACATACATACATGCAATCAATCAATCAATCAATTACAACAGAACACTGTAAGTCCCACACGCAGCGCTTTCTATGAATGACGTCGCGTCTGGTGGCTGCTATGTATAACTGCAGTAAAAACGGCTATTACATGCTGACCTGCACATCCCCAAACTATTACCTCAAGAGCCGTCTTCTCATGTTCCTCCTCTCCTTCCCACGCGGTCTTGGATCCGCTGTCCATACTTGAGCCCCAACACGGCGTTTTTGTTTTACTAGTCCATTTGCTTACAAACTTGTAAACTCATCGTCTTCTTACATTATACTATCTATATGTATTCGTCCCCTTTGTGCGTTGGTTTTCCCCTCCACATTCCCACCGCCGCTGTCACAACCTATGCCATCCCCCCTAGTTATGCCTTTCCTGTACATCGCGGCCGCAGCTCAGTCTTTCCTCCTTGGCATCAGCTTCACTCGCTCGTGTGGTTCGTCTTTTCTCCCCTACCCCTTACCCCCTACCCCCAGTCCTTCCCCCCTCAGTGTCCGTTAAACGTTTCCCTTCCTTGCATTTCATTCCTTCCCACTCCCGGGGGGAACGCTACAGGTCAACACAACTGCTGCTGCTGCCGCTACTGCCTGCGGCGGTGGCGAAGGGCAGGGCTCCTCGATAAGTCAACCCTTGCTTCGAAAGTCCGAAGCTAGCGTCAACCCCCCGTTCCCTACATCTCCTCCTGGCGGCATCGCCGCCCTGTACCACCACTACCACCATTATCATCACCATAACCACAATCGTAATGTGAGGGCCAGCACCGGGCCGATAGCGGCTTTCGATAGCTCCAAACTCCTCGGCGCGGCATCTTCGCGATTGGGCGACGACCTGACGTCTCCGTCGAGCGACCCGTGGGCCTCCCCGCGCTCTGGCGGGACCGGCGCCGGCAGCGGCACGGCCACGGGCACGGGTGCCGCCGCCGCCGCCGCCGGCAGCGGCACGGGCAAGGGCACTGGGGTGCTGGGTGCGGACCAGGATATTCCTGAGCACGGCTCCCTTCCGGAGCGGGCCGTTCTGAGGGTGAGTGGTGGAGGAGTGTGTGGCGCTGGTTTTTGTGGATATGGTCGCAGTGTTCTCATTGAAGCTGAGAAAGATACCATGTAACTGAGAAAGAGTAAACTGAGAGAGAGGAAGGGAACTCTAACGTCAGGGATGTGAAAACGGAGGAGATGTGTGGCTTTTTGAAAAGCACCTGCAAGCAATATATCGTTGTACAGATCCCGTTATGTGGACAGCTTGGGTAGTGCAGCATTTTGGCAGCGGATAAGTTATACCGGTATACAAACGGGAGCATACGGAGGATGGGTAGGTGGGGTGGGCACGACCTGGGTTCGGAAAGGAGGGTGGGGGAGCGGTGTGGGGAGGCCTGCAACGGCTTCTTTCCTTTTCCTCTCCCGCCCTCGCCGCTGAAATGGAAAACATGAAAACGTTGCCGCCGCCCGGGGTCAAAATGGGGCGGTAAATTTTACAAATAAGGCAGTTGAGTCATTGCTTATTCAGGCTCGTATGGCAGTTGGCGGCTTTGGACATGTCGGCAGTCGTTTCCCTTCTTGACTTTGCATCGTGATATATGTTTCCCTCCCCCGGCTGACATACCGACCCATGGGTCACATGCTTGCAGTCGGCAATGGCTCTGCGGGCGGTCTCCATGCAGGAATCTGCCCGCCAGCGGTTCTCCGCACTGTTTCACGACAACTGTACGGCGGACGGCGCTGGTTCCTCACCGCTGGCGATGCCGCAGGGGGGTCTCGCGGGGTCCCCCCAAACCCCCACGATGCACCGTGTGCGGCTGAGCACACCGCAGGCGGAATGGTATAACAGTCATATCCATTCACCGCCTCCCTTTTGTAAGTTGTGCGGAGGGAGAGGGGGAAGCGCGAAGAAGGGCTAGGGGGGGTAATGCTGATGTGGGTCGTCGTGTTAAGGAAGGGGGAGGGGAAATGGGGAAGTGGGTATCGGGCGGTCATCGGGATGCGGTGAGGAGTCCGTCTGTCATGGAGAGGAATTCTAGGGAGTCGGGAGATGGGGGAGGAGAGGAATCCGGAAGAGCGGCGTGAGGGAGGGAGGAAGAGGTGAAGGGGGGGGTCTGGGGGAAGGTTGTTGTGAGAGGGGACTGTACAAGAACTCTCCCGTCCATACCCCCACACTTTAT